TGGAAATGAGACAGGCTGCCTGCCCACCCAGCTCCTACTACACTTTAAATACAGGGGGGTAGGTCCCGGACCTGACGGGAGCCAAGCTAGCCTGCTAAAAAATGTACTGGTGGGAGGGGAATGCATGTAGCCTATAGCATTGACCTGTCAGCTTTTGCTTATCAGTTAATCGACTCCACTGCTCCATCCCTCCTTCAGACAAGCGTCCCATCCACCCCGTACACGGAAATCCTGATGGAAGGGCGCCAGCGTCAACCGGACAAGTGTAGCGAGCCCCGCCCACGGGGATGTGACTCCGCCCTCAGCGTCTTCCAAGAATCAGGCTTGAACAGAATTCCTGCTCTCTGCTTCGGTACGGAGGGTGAACTCGGGACGCTGGGTCCGGTTTTGCCCTGGACCGTACCCGAGGCAGGATTCTCCCCCCACATCCCCGAACGTCAATATTTACAAGGGGATTGTTTAAAGAGATTCCGCATCTTGGCAAGGGGCTAGGAAATAAACCAGCTGATTGTGTCCAGCTTCTGGCACTTGCTCTTTTGTGCTTTGGCTCCACTCCTCTGAAGAAGTGGGCCGTGCCCAGGAAAGCTCCCGACCCCGCCTATCGCGTCTCCAAGGGGCTACGGGACCACTCGTTTCTTCCGCCAGCCGAGGGAAGCTCCCCTCTAATTGGTGAGACGGGGGATCTAGGCTATTTTTGTAACTCCTTCCCTGCCTCTCCCTTTCCCCATCTGCTGTCTGCCGGTCTCACTTGGGACAGGAGCAGGGCGAGCCAGGCAGCTGCCCAGGGCGCCAACTGACGGGGGTGGGAGGGCACCTGATGGCAGCTGTAAGGGGTGCACTGGCATACAGATGAGGACGCCTCCAATAAGCATAGACGGGGGATCTAGGCTATTTTTGTAACTCCTTCCCTGCCTCTCCCTTTCCCCATCTGCTGTCTGCCGGTCTCACTTGGGACAGGAGCAGGGCGAGCCAGGCAGCTGCCCAGGGCGCCAACTGACGGGGGTGGGAGGGCACCTGATGGCAGCTGTAAGGGGTGCACTGGCATACAGATGAGGACGCCTCCAATAAGCATGCTCAGCAGAACACGGTACAACGCTTAACGCGAATCAGTGCATAACTGAACTCCTTTCCTGTCCTACGCTTCTGCAGACACTCTGGAAGGGGGGCAAGGGACAGAGGCTCACGCTAGCGGTTAATCTGTCATCCCCTGGGGCTTTTGCTCCTGCACAAGCCGTCCTAGCCTTTGCGAAAAGAGAAGGGGGACTCTGGACTAGACACACGTGTAGCATCGGAGAAGGAAGCTGCCGCTTTCCAGCTTTTTCATGCTGCCGTTCCTAAAATCTCGTCCGCAGCTGGAGCTACAAGCAAAATGGCAGCTGCTGAGCCAGGGGATCACAGCAGAAACCCCAGCTTAGCCCCCAAGTGCCGAGCTTGCACGTAGGAAGAGTTCTGTTTGAAATCAGCCTTTCAAAGCGAGCTGCCGGTCCTACCTCTTCCACGTACTGATACATGATGGCCTTGACCGCCTGGATGTTGGTGGCATCCATCATTAACGTGACCGCTTGTCCTTTCCGAATCTTCACCACCCCCCTGAACACCTGCTTGTTGTTGTAACAGGCAGCCAGTGTGGCCACGGCCATCACCTAGGGAGAAAGGACAGGGAGAATGTATTCTGTACGTGCAGGCGCTGTGGAGGTTAGTGAGACTGGCACGTCTATGGAAGAGCAGAGCCACGTCACGGGGCCCAGGGCATAACAGCCCGCGTGGTGATCTGCGTGAGAAACGGAGTTCGTCGCCGAGAGGAAAGTCAGGCTTGTATTAAGGGGGCAAAAAGGGCAGGGGAAACGGCCGATCACACATCCCAGCCACGCACCCACCTGCGGAATAGCGCAGAAGTTGAAGACGCTTTGGTTCTTCAGCCTCGATAAGTAGGTGAGGACATCGGGGACGTGGTGCAGAGCGTTTGTGATCAGTTCGTTCAGGCACTGGACGGCCATGTCTGTGTTCTCCGGCCTGGCGAGATCCGAGAGCTTCTTGGCGTACCGGCTCCAGACCTGGACGGCGACAGTGCGGAGTAACCCCGCCCGGCAGTTAGCTTGGCTGACGTTCGCAAACCCACCTGGCTACAGCGCGAAGCGAGACCCGGGACACACGGTTCATTCTGGACTCCACTCCCAGTACAGCGACCCGTTCACTAAGGCGAGAGGGGCCAGCAGCTGGATTGGGCCTGACTAAATGATGACGTTGTGGACAGGCAGGCAGGGGGGGGGGGGCCCCCCCCCCGGGGGCTGCCGGCACCTGTGAACTATCCATGCCTCTGATCCAGAAAGGCGTTTCCACACACAACTTTAAAGCACGGGGAGTAACCGCGCTGACCTCCTGTGTGTGGAAACGCTCTGCTGCACGGGGGCGGGTACAGCAGGGCCCTGTGTTATAGACGGTCAAAGGCGGTCTCCCGGCCTGACTGGACCCCCACCCTCCCCAGATTATAAGAACATGGCCATATCCTCTCCAGAGTGGGGGTGCAAGGAGCAGAGCAAGAGCATCCAAGAGTCTTCTCCAGACACTCTGCTGAACGGATGCATGATCGGTGTTCCCTGTCAGCCGGGAACTTGGGCAGCTGCTCAGAAGAAATTCCAGTGCCAGCCAGCTGATTAACAGCCATGGGGCACCGCCGCGCACCATGGTGCACATAAAATGTATTCCACAATGGTGCACCGCCGCGCACCATGGTGCACATACAATTTATTCCACACATGGACTAGAGAAAAATATGCACATGAATGGAGAAGATTCAAGGGAAAGTTGTGCATGACCAATAAATCTATTAATATTAATAAGAAACAGGGTCTTATCAGCACTGCTTTGTTCTACAATCAGACCCCAAAGCCTCTCCACTTTCTCCTGGATGTTTGTTTTCCCGGACAATTGAAGGGGGAGTTTGGGTTTTAACAGTGTTTCTGCTACTCCTTTCCACCCACTCCATGATGCGCAAGGCTTATTAATCCTAGCAACAGATGTTACCCACGGGACAGGCAGGCTGGCAAATTGTGACTTTCAGCTGTATCATTGCACAAGATCTAGGAGAGCCGAGGATTCCCTAAAGTTGAATTTGTGCAACTTCCTTTGAAAAAGGCCAGAAACCGTTGATACCAGAATAAGAACCGAATGAGAAATTCTGTGAAGTTCATCTCCTCACTCGCAGGCCTGGCCAACTCCAGAGCCAAGCAGCCACTGTATCTCACGCCCCTGTCTGCGTCGCACCTCTGAACACTTTCTAGTGACACAGAGGGGCAGCCGCCTTAGTCTGTATCTGCAGAAACAGCAGGGAGTCCTGGAGTTCCTACAGCTCCTCGATTTTGCTTGCTAATGAGGCCCAGCTAGTTCAAGTTCTTATCTAGAAAGAACGGTTCCGTTACCTCTCTGGGCCAGAACTCTCTCCCCTCCAGCTGGTCCTCCAGATAATCCCGGATGATGTTGGTTTTCTGAAGAAAGAGGCCCATGGAATTTGCAAGCGCCGTGTCCTGCCCTACGACAGGGTCTTCCAGCTGGGAGGCAGAGAACAGGCGGGACAGGCCAATGCCAACCAGCCCGGCCACGTAGTGACAGTACTGCAAGGAGCGGGAGAACACATCGAGCTGTGAACAGCGTCTCTGCTAGTGCAGGTGGCTACATCCAAATCCCCCCGGAGGTTACTGAACGTGCCTCTTGCGGGTCTGGAGGGGGCGTCCCCCCAAGCAGGCCAAGCCCATGTGGACGGCACGGCCGTGGGCTTTGGGCTCTGTCTGTGAATACAGAGCCACGCCGAGTGAGGGCTCCCTGGCCGGGCTCAACAGGAAACATCCGCACAACAGGCGTGCGCGACTCCCGGGGTGAATTCTCCACCCGGGGAAGCAGCAGGCGGGTCGTTTGCAGCTGGCAGCAGCCCGGGATGAAAGACCCACACGGGAGCAGCTGCTGCTGCAGCCCGGCAGACACGCTCCAGGCCAGGGTTTAGGGCAGGGGTGGGCGAGAGGCTGCCCGCGAGCTCCGTTCCCCCCGCAAGCCAACAG